GCTTTGCACCTGAGAGCACAGTTAGCCATAACTGTAGTCCACACACCAAGACAAATTCGGGTTGATGGAACAGCACTAGTCAATGCAGTGGGATGTGTGATTGCTCTCCTAGTGCTGGGCAGCCCCTGCATGCAAGCTGTAGAAGAAAGCACAGTTTTTTAGCGTTCACACACAAATGTTTGGTCTGTCTGTTTATGCCTCTGTCTCCTGCAATGTCCATCCTAAATGAGCAAAATTGTATTTTTGTATTCCTCTCCTTACCCTGTTCCAGCCCCCCCTCCACACCCGCAGCTACGAACTCCTGCGTTCTGAACACGGGGCATGTGCGAAAGATTAAAAAAATATATTGTTTTGTTAGCCATAAAAAGGAAAGCAAACAGTATATTCCACATTAAGCTGTGTCGTGTATCCTTTCCCTGGCAGAGCCCCAAGCGTTGCAGTTACTTGGAATCCAGCAGTGCGAGCACAGAGGGAGGGATTAATTAAAAGCAGTACGCATTAATGGAGTTCTAAGCCTGACTTCATGGCATTAAGCTCTTTCCCCCTTGGGACCTGCTGGAGCTGTATGAGGTTGCCCTTTCCAGGGCTGCACCACTTGAGTTTGTGCCTGTGCGAGCCGCCAGCCATGAACAGAGCAACCTGTCTGCAGGGACACGGAGCGACCGCGCACCGGGGCACAAATCTGGAGTGTCCCTCCCAGCACTGTGGATCTCGGTCCCATTAAACGGGCAATACTGGAGTGGTCAGTTTGTCATGGCTACGTCCAGTTAGCCAAAGATTAGCAAGCCTTAATCCCAGAGGCAACAGAAGGCAGAGGTATGTCCGTTTGTCCTGAAACGTTTTTGTGAATCTTTGAATGCTCTGGAAGCTGAAGACTGGGAGAGGAAGATCACTTCTGCTGCTTGTGCTTCTAAGCAAGTGGTATGAGCCAGGCAAGTGTTTCCCATATGTAGAACAAAACAAGGGGATTTCATTTTGAAGGAAGATCAGTGACGTGACTGTAGGAAGAAAAATAGAAGGAAGATGGAGTTTGGGCTGGTAGCTCCAGCAGATGCCGAGTGCACTGTATGCCTGAGGAGTCTCTAACACCTTTTCCAAGCAAGACCAGGGCAGGGAGCTGGCTGCAGAATTAACCCTTAATAGTACAGGTGCTTAACTCCAAGCAAACTGCTGCATCCCAATTTTCAAGTCACACTAGGCCAAGGACTATTGCAAGGTCTTGTTCATCATCCCTCTCTATTATTATGAGGGGGGGTCTGTGCTGAACAGCATCTCCTGCTAGCAGCAGCGTAGCTGGATGGTGGCACACCTGCGTTCTTCAGGCACTTGTCTTGAATCAGAACAAATGCTCTCACTGCACAAATGCAGTGACATCTGCAAGCCCAAGCAAACTTGGGGCAATCACTCTTGTTCCCTCAAAGGTGCGGTATGTTTCTTGTGTACTCTAACACACTACCCAGCTTTTTTGGTACTCCTGAAGTTCTTGAGTTAAGGACTTAATGTTGTGGTGTTAAATTCTGAGCGTTTCCCTTCACACCAGAAAGCTCTTCTCTTAGCATGGATTTAGAATAATGCGGCACTTCATGAGACCTCATTATTTCACGAAAGGTGACTGTGTTGTTCAAGTGCCTGTACTGTGGCAAGCATCTAATTATGGATCCTTTTTGCAGACCCCCAGAGATGCCATTATGTCCATCTGCAGTAGCACAGGGAGGATTATCATTTGCATTCAGCATGAGCTCTTCTCTATTCTTTCCACTGCACCTAAACAAGGGAAACAAATCTTATTGACCACTGATTCTTTTTTTTATTTATCTTGCATTTCATTTTCCAGAACAGCTTTGCTTCATTTCCTCTTGAGTATTTTTATTTGCTACTCCAGCACCAAGATATCTACTCTGATCTGGTCTAATTGCACGTGCAGCGTCGTTGGTTGGCTTGGCAAAGCTGTCCTTGCTGAAAGAGCTTTTCATCCTTTCCAAAGAAAGCATGGCCTGGAGGGGTGGCATGCCCAAAGGTGAAAGCTTTATCAATAATCACAGGAGTGGCATATCTTCAAAGCAGGGCTCTCCGAACAGCCTTTACTTTCTGCATTTGCAAAAATCTGTGCTTCATCTACGACTTTACAAAGCAGATGCCGTTATTTATTCCTTAGCCCCAAACTTCCTGCCTGGCTCCCAGTCAAGCAGGAAAAGCGGGCAGTAGTCTGAGATGGGCAAATCCTGTGGCTGGCCTAGATCTGGGAAAAACTCTTCTAGGCAAACTGGCTTTGGTTCTTGTCCAATCAAAGGTTATTCTCTTTGCCACATATAAGCAAAAAGTACTTTACACTGCAAGGGAAAAACAATTTGAAAGATAATTTGGCCTGTGAACTATTCAAATTTATTTTAATGTTTTCTATCCAGAAGAAGATGAGCCAGAATGAAAAGACCATGCTCATAAGAGCCGTCTCACCCCGATGTACGCGCTGGGTGCAGTGATGGTGTCGGCCAGCTGTGGGCACTGTGTGCGGGACTTCCTCGAGGAAAGAGCCTCTGCTAACAGCTTCCAGCTTTGCCTCAAGTTAGGGCTGTCCCAGGCCACCACCATGAGCTGGGGGGCACTTTGTGACCCATGCCATTAGCCGGTGGGCCATCATTGTCCTTGTCCTGCAAATTGGCATTACTGTTGTAAATGCTGGAAACTTTTTCCTTTTTATTATTTTTCCTTTCTCCTTTTTCACTCTTTCCCTCTTTTCTCCTCTCCTTTCTACATTTTTGATGATTGAAGTTCTCAGATTTTTGGAGCAACGTGCCTTCCCTACCCATCTCTGTTTACACTCATGGATAGGAGTAGTTTTAAGGAGAAAATACGTAAATAGAGTGTGTGTTTCAGCACAGGCTCCCGGGAGCTGAATTACAAGAGGGGAAGTAATGGATGAGCACCCCTCTGATGGGGCAGCAACGAGGGGGGACACGAGCACATGGGCCAAGTCTTCCCACGAGGCTGCCCTGGGATTTTCTTTGCATTGCATAGTTACTTCCACTGGCAAAATCCCCAGGGAGGGTGAAAAGGAAGAAGGACGGAGCTGTGAGACTGGGGAGCTGGCAGGGCCTCATTCTGCTCCGGCCTTTCTCTAGTGACTGGTCCCTTTCAGGGGAGGATAACGCGTGTAGGTGTTTTCCCTTGTTTCGTCTCTACTTTGCACCGTACTGAACGCGGCGGCACCTGCTCTGTGTTTGCCAGCAGCCTGGTCCCAGCAGCAGCAGCATCCTCAGAGCACGGCCAGCTCGCGCTCGGGCTGCCTTCGCCCCGCTCCTTCTTCCAGCAGCTGCTTCCGCGCGCGGTGCTGATGCTGCCGGGGCTGCCCCTTCCCTCAGAAGGAAACTTAATCTACTGAAAAGGCTCACTCTGACATTTCTTTCCAATTGTTTTTTCCCCAATAGGATAGAAACTGTTGGGGGGGGGAAAAGGTATCTCCATTTCTCAGCCTCTTTTCCTTCAAGGGGTTCCAGACCTTTCAAGGTGCTACATGTTGTGTAATTTTAGGGGTAATAAGCTGGTTCCCAGAATGCCAGCTAAGGTAAAGGATATAGCGTGTGCTGTCTTGAGCTGTCACTCCAATCAGCTTAGTGTGTAGCTTTATCTAAGTGCAAACAACTTCAAAAGGGAGGTAGTGATATACATAATTCAAGCAGACTTCCAGAGATTTTTTTTTGACATAAATCAAAAAGTAGTTTTTTTTTTTTTGATTGGTTGGGTTTTTTTAAGTTTCACTCTTATTTTCCCAGCTCTCTGGAGTTTCTCTGTGGAGACCTGGCTCCCACCAGCTAGTGCTGACTGCGGCGGGTGCTGACGGCCTAGGCAGGGCAAAGAAATTTCTGATTCGTGAAAGATAGAGTTTGATTTTGCTTTTTTGTTTCTGCTGCATCTGTCAGGACAAAAGGTGGTTATTCTACAAAGCCAACTGTTAAAACTCGTTTCAGGTCAGTCCTAACGCTTTACTTCAAGAAAGTGGAGCAACGTTGCGTTGTTTGGATGACACGTTAAAAAAAAAAAAAGGATCATAGAGCAGAAGTGGAAAGTACTTAATAGAAAATTGATTTGGAGTGTACTGGTGTGATCTCTTTTGCTTCTGAAGCATAGTTGGTGTTTCCTTTAAGAGAAATCTGCAGAGATGTTGGCAGTCCTGGAGCCGCTCGAGGTGGCTGCGTGCAGCTCCCGGCTGCAGCTTGAGCAGGTCCTGGGTCTCTGCCGGCTCTGGTGCCCTCTCTGGCAGCCCTGCGCAGGTGTCGCGGCTACCCTGGGGCGTCACACGTGGCACTACGTACCTATCTTTAGGCAACTACAGCAGGCAGACTCGGTCATTTTTGCTGTTATAAGCAAATCACTTGTTGTGGGATACTCTAGAGACCAAAAAGGTAACGTGCACGTGAAGGTGGCACTAGGATTTGTGGGTTTTAAGTCCAAGGGAACTCCAGGTTAGTGCATTCAGTGAAGCTTTTATCTTATATCTGGGAAATCACGCATAGGTTTTTCATATTTATAAAGAACGAAGAATGTAATAACAGTGAAACGGTCATATACCCAAAATGCAATGACAGATGTCACTTCCTCCTCTGTAGCTGTTGTGCGCATTTGTAATTAAGTATATATGTTCAGCTCAATAATGTGCCTGTGTGTTGTGCTCAATGATGTGCAGAGAGATGTTAGAAGCTCGCTCACTTCTTCTCTTCTGCTTCCTACGCCTGGGCCAGGGATGCCCCCAGGCACCAGTCAGTCAATCAAGGCGAAGCGTTGTCAGGAGTCCCTCAAAAGTGGACACGCAAAGAATTGGACGGGTGACACGACTTTGGGAAGGAGTCGTGTCACCAAATGACTCAAAATGAAAGGAGGAGAGAGAGACTGCAAATCAAAACCAAAACGTAGTTCCAAAACTCATTCTGATCGTTCTGTGCTTTCTTTTGTTTTTCTTTTGTTTTTCTTTACGCTTCTTTGTTTTGTTTTTGTATTTCCTGCAGGCAAGGCGTACGCTCCGGAGTTTTACTACGACACTTACAACCCGCTGTGGCAGAACAGGCCCCGCGTCTACTCCTACAGCCTCCAGTGGACCCAGATGAACCCCGACGCCGTGGACCGCATCCTGGCGTACCGCTTAGGGATTCGGCAGGTGAGCAGAGAAAGCGGTTCGGAGGCGAAGGGCCTGTGGAGCGCTCTGAGCTCTGCGAGACTTGCTTTTCATCTCGTGCAGGAGTGCGCGGCTGCTGCTCCGCGCTGCCGTGTTGCAGGGGTAGTCCGCTGCCGCTCCCCAATCCTGGAAGCGAATTTGCACGTTTCCAGCGCGGGGCTGGAGATCAAAGAGGCATCGCGCAGAGGGCTTGCAGAGGCTGCCGCGCCAGATACGCTAGGGAGATCACCCCGAAGAAACTGGCAGTGAAATTTAGCTTCTTCTCTCCCTCTGTGTATCTGTATATCTTCTATTATATATTCCGTGCAAATAGCTAAATGTCGAGAGAGTTGTAGCTTTCCTACAGAAACACGTTGTGGTCCTTGAGAAACCTCCCTTAACCACGTTAAAGCCCGTGGTGCTTGGGGCATCATACCATTAGCTACTGTTAAGAAAGCATGGTACCGCTCTGCTTGCAGAGGAACTGTTAAATTAACATGGTAATCAACATTAATTTACCATTTAACAATTTTTAAAGAAAAACGTTATCCATCTTCTTTTAACATGAGTGCTACGCAGCTTGAGTTTTAATAGTTAATTAAAATGAAAGAACCAATCTGTGCGTTGCATAAGCTCTAATTAGAAGGCAACACGCCTCCTTATTCCCCTTCACAGGGCAAAGCAAAGGTTTGTTCGCACTTCTACGTTCGTCTAAGTCTGTACAAAATCTCAGAAATACCTTCCAAAGGGAGAAGGTTTTTTATGGCGTGCTGCTTCCTTATGGCCCTGACTGGATTCTGCACATGCTAAACAGTACAAACGTACCAAGGATGGACGCTGACCGTTTGGTTTTCGGCACTAGCAGGCTTTCGAAAGGAAAAAATGCATGATTTGAAAATAGTTCTCTTGGGTGTGAACACTTCCTTGGCCACCACAGTCCCCTCTGAGTAACGTTTCACTGCTCCGGGCTTTCGCCGTTGGTGGAGGAGGCGGCGCCTTGCTGCCGTGGTCCCCTGCCGTACCGCCTGCGGGGGCCACCGGCCCTGGCTGCGCGAGCCCTGCTTTCCCACCGGCCCTTCGATCCCGCACCCGCAGGGAAAAATGAGCACGTTCGCGCTGCTTTACTCGGGAGAAGCTGCTTGGCGTTGTTTTGGTATCGTTTTACACCCTCCTGTTGAGTTTGTCTCGCTTTAAAAAATACCCTTAATTGCTCGGTTTAGGACTCCCGTGTTTGGTTCTTCAGTACCTGAAGTAATAGTTTGTGCAGAGAGAACGCGGGTCAGGGACGAAGCTTATTCTTGATTTTTTTTTTTAAATCTTGGAGTGCAGAACATAGTCCCACAGATCTCCCACTGGGGTGAGCTCTGTAAGCTGCAGAACAAGTGCACAATTTGAGCGTGTTTTTGTACTCCTTCAGGAATAGGTTTTTGCTGGTGTAGCTTTTGTGGTAGCTGTAGGTCAGGAGGTTGATGGGGACGTTTCCAGGGAAAGGCTTTGGTGCCCCCACAGCTGGTAAGGTGGTGGCGAGCGTGCTGCTCCGACACACGCATACCCTGAGCTCCAGTTTTGTCTCTGCCCGTATCTAACTAATCTGAAATGAAAATTAGGGGCTTTTAATAAATGTTTGTATCACGGTTTGCATCATTAGGCACAAATCAGCCCTGTTATTCTCCAGTACCCAAGCGAAATTATTACATTTAAAAAAAATTTGCTAGGTAAAAGGACATATAATTAAATTATTTGTACTTACATTAGGATTTTTAGCTTCTTTTTCCATTTCATTGTAGTATACTTTTAATGATCTATTTTAGGTGCTTAAAATGAGTAGCTCTCTGTCGGTGGCTGCTCCTTTCGTCTGTCTGATGCTACGTTTAAAACTTGGGTGATCTAGAAACTAGTGAGCTATCTGGGCCTGCTCTTTCATTATTGCCATAATTCCCCCTGAAACAAGGGTGATAATTAAAATTCTTATTTTCTTTGACAGCTGCTGGTACTTGTTACCAGCAGATTGCCCTTTGCAAAGTTTGTGTTTAGACAGTTTATTCGACTTTGCAATGTATTTTTCGCTATTGCTTTTGTTGTTTG